AAAGTAGAAGAAGAAGAATCAGCTGTAACAGCTTTACTCCTCAGGATTTGAGTGGGGAGCAACAACTGCAGTTATACTTGCACAATGTGCCTTATCAGTTGGTTAAGTCACAAAGCACAGGTGATATTCATCATTGATAGCTGTAGATACCGTAGAGATCTGATGAAAAGGATGTCAGACATAAATGAAGCCAAAGTCAAATACAACAGTTTCTGCTTCAACTGTAACAGTGGATTTAATTGATTGAATTAATTTTACCACATCATCCACTGTTTTTTGACACTTTCACTTGAATCTGTTCGTCTAATTAGGACCCAGATGTCACGTCGAGGCTTTTCACCACCAAACAAATTTATCTCATTAACGCATAAGCTGCACATTTCGACTGAGTGTGAATAATACGTGCGAGGGCTCCAGCAAAGAAACACAATACCTCATGTGAACAATGAAGCGAGTAATTTGAGCTTTTGAATAATTAATGCATGAGAGGCTTAAAGGTACAGTACGGTGGGGTTTTTCAGGGAGGAGGTATGGTGGTAACATCACTTACAGAAGTACTCCAGTATACAGTATGAGACAGGTGGTATATGCATTGAATTTTAAACGGTTTAAATGACATGAGCTAAATGTAATCCCTGTTTGAAGTCTCATCTAATATCTATAACGAAGCCTAATATATCCAGTACTATCACTATTCTATGGAATGTGTGAGGTTTAAATAATCTATTGTTATTCTCTCTGCAGCTTGTAGCTTCCGTGGCACAGGAAGCTGCAGAATCTGTCTTTGGTTCTAATGAGCTGGGGGGAGGGGGAAGGGGGATCGGGGAGGGGCAGTGGTAAGTCTTACCCTGTTAAATACAGTCACAACAACTGTGAGTGAAGGAGACGGAGAGCACGGGACCACCTTACGGTCTGCCATACTTTACATCCAGGCAGGATGAAGCTGCTGTCACAGCTCTTCACATCATTCGCTCCAACGGCGTCACCGTGGCTTTCACAGCTTCATTCAGGCCGTTTCAGGTGTTTTGTTACACACTTGTGACAGACTCTGTGCTCTGACTGAAATAGGCCTTCTACTGTATATAAATATCCCATAACTGCCAACGGTGTTAAACTCAGATGAGAGGGAAAAGTGTGACACCTGGTGTCAGTGAGAGCAACAGCAGCTGTTATGCTGAGACACAGGGTTAAAAAAAAAAATAGAGAAAACTGTCACTTTTGCTTTCACTTAGCAGTTTTTCTATAAACATTTTGAAATGTATTTTTTTCAACGACCCCAATTAGGTTTTTTATTTATTTATTTATGGAATTTGTTCTTTTTCTGTTTTATATTTAGCTAATGTTTAGTTTTTTAACTAACTTTATGTCAACTTTATGTCAACTTTTGCTAATCTCTTAGAGCTTATCTTTTATTTCTTTGAGCAATTCTTTTTTTTTTTTTGCCTTCTGTGTTTGAAATGAAGGAAACTTTAAGACCTACAATAATTTATGAACTTTTACACAATTATAATGTTAAATCAAGTCATGTATAATAATCGTGACAACCGTAATATTGTGATATATAGGTGTCCCCACCCCACATTTTGTAAACCACTGCCCTATAATAGGAAGATCACTGTTACGTTCAGCATTAGGCTGCATTTATCACCAACTGGGATGTGTGAGTGTTTTGTTCTTGTTCAAGCCCAAGAGCCCTGTCAGGACTGGGAATCACACCGGAAACCATTAGGCTAGGGGATGCCCCGTATGTGTGGGTGTCACTGAGAGCAATTGGAGCTTAAGTGTCTCAAAAGGAGAGCAAATGCGGTGTACATACAGTATCAGTGAACGCATCCATACATAATTAGAGGAGAATGAATAATTTGACACATTACACGGTTGCATCCTTTTTGCATGAATACATCACACTAATTTGTACGAGGAAAGCCGCCTCCTGTCAGGATTGATTATAATTATACACAGACCAACCTAAATTCCATATATATTCTGTAAATGACCTGGTTTGTTGGCTCCCAAGATACGTCGTGAAGAAATGGCTTTGTTATGTGCATTGATAGCAACTAAAATATCTCACACGTGCCACTTAGAACAATAAATCCCCGGGCCAATTCAACAGGGGGTTAAGAAGTTTCAGCACTTCCATCCTTCTTGGCAGCTGAAGGCACCCAGCTCTCCATATTGAACTCAACCGAGCCAAGTGTCCTCAGAAAACGCCCTATCTTCAGAGATTGTTTTCACAGTATGCCGAAAACTAATTACAAGCAATAAATTAATTTCACGCTACTGCTTTGGAATTAATTGCATCTTTACAGAAGTGTCTGGAAGTGATGGCTCAAGCAGCTCCGATAAGGGTGGACACACTGAGAGCTCGATTGAATTATGTGGCTTATCAGAGCTGTTGCTTTTCTATGAAGGATACACTTGATAATCCCTAAAGAAATGATCTCAAAACTCTTGTTTGCTGCGGTTTTAATTGCTGCCAAGGTATTTTTGTCACGCAGCTCCCACGGCACACGTGCCATATGTTAGGATGTTGCTTTGTGTGGCAGGCAGGACGTCGCACAAATGTGTCCTCCGAATGTTTTTGTAGCAAATGTGTAAATGTGCGGCACAATTAATTCATGGTGAAAGGCTAAGGGGTTGAACAGGTTGCTTTTTTATTTAGTATTTCCTGCAGTCAGGTCCAAGCTCTTCACAGCCTACTTCTCATTCTCAGGTTGTACTTCCCTGATACATTTCACACCTACTAAATGGCAAGAGTCTGTAAATAAGCTGCCAATCTACAGGGCTGTGCTGTTTGATTAACATTCTGTCAGCACAGACAAAGACACAGAGACACTTGTCCACACTGTTTATGTGTTAGTTAATCGTGAAACCTGAGTTTAACTCTAACCTAAACCCAATTCTAATCCTAAATCCAAACTGAACCTAAAATTATCCTTTTATTCAGTGGACCCCTGCCAAATATCCATTGCTGCAGAATGTAGCAGCAAGAGTAGTATTGTTTACATGTGGGTGGACCCGCACACTGAACAGACATTTAGAGCGTGTTTATAGCATCGCCTGCTGGGGTTGATATTTGGTTCTTGTTTGTAAAGAAAAGGACACAATTACAGCATACTGTTTTTACTGCTTTAAGTTGTGTTTTTTTATTATTTGTTGCTAGGTATCAGAGAATTTGACCAACAGGTTTGGAGCAAGGCAAGGCTGCTTTGCATGTAGGTAATTTAATTTGTTTTACATTAAAGAACAATGTTGATAATTTAAAAAATAATTCAAAATAAATACAGAAAAGACAATTGGATGCAAATAAAATGATGAAATGATTTAAGATCTCAATTGTCAGCATAACAGAAAAGTTTTAACCTGGATTTAAATTTGGTTTCACTACCAGTTAGTCATTAAAATTGTTTTTTCTGCACAGCAAGGCTACAGCAAACAGAGAGATAACAACTGTGTGTATTGGTGGCATTGGTAAACGAGCTGCTGTCTTTCTGCATTCTTCAGATATAGGAGGTAAGTCCTTATTTTTACGATTTCCAGTCGACTTTTGTGACTTTTCAAGATTCTCCTAATTGGCCCCAATGGGATTTTGAGCCAAAACCCCTGACGTTCACATCTGTCTTTCACTCTCTCCACCCCCCAACCCTTTGCACTCATGACAGTATCATTGTAATCTGTGCTGATAATATTGTTGTAGTTTTAACAAGATTTCAGTGTTTCATCATGGCATGTGACCGCTTCTATTCCAAGATTTAATTTCCTCTCTTTTTTCTCTTCCCTGCTGTCATCTTTGATACTCTTCACCACTATCACATGACAGATGCTCCCCTCCAGACCCTATAATTATATTTCCAGCTTCAGATTCATAATTCATCACACCAATGCAGGCTTGCATTCCTTATATATAAAAAAGGAAACTGAATTGTTTAGAGGCACTCATGCAAGCGCATTTACAGTAATTTCTATAAATTAATTATTGATGAATGTACAAAAGAAAAAGTGTAAAAATAAATTAAGATGCATGGGTAATATTAATGGATTTCTCCGCTTGTAATGTATTTTCACTTAAAGTACGTAAGTCATGAATATGTAATGCTGATATTGAGACTCAATTGGGAACAATGTGCTTCTTGTCGTTCTGTTCTTGACAAAATAAAAGCACCTCTATTAATAAAGTACCGAATAATAAAACCAGTAATAACAGGAGCAGTGCCAGAGACACAGGCGCAAATCCTTCATCTCCACCAGGCGGGAGATGAGTACAAGCTGGGTGTGACGAGTGTGGCAGCAGATGTAACTCTGTGCCTTTCACATTGTGCAGCCTCAGAGTGCTGTGCCTTGTAAATCATTCACGAAAGTAGACACAGGCTGAGCACAGACAATGGCTGTTTCTGCTCTACTTTTTTTCCCAAAGCTTTTACTCTTCACAGCTTTACAAAGCCTTTATGAATTGAAGAAAGAATTCTTCAACATTAAATGAAAGCAACAAGCAAATATGCAAATGCGTACTGATGTGTAGTGATTAAAATATAGATGTATTATGTTTTTCACCAGGCTGATGTCATAACTATATTCTTTTTTTTTATATAACTAATGAAATCAGCGGAAGTACTTTTAGGTCTTACACTAATGATAAAGTTCTTCCTACAACTGTACAGTTTGCCCTGTAACAGCTCCTGTGGCTATACTGTCTGCTCCTTCCTCCCTCACCTCTTTTTTCCCCCCTCGGTTGTCTCCCCTACAGTATATAATGTCGGTGTAATCAATGTCCATCTACTTACGTAACATGCTCTAATATATGGTTAGTATGTGTTGTACAAGCCATAAAAAAATTGCAAAAAGATTGTCTTGACAAAATATCAATATTATTTTTCCCCTCTGATTCAGTAATAGACACAGAAAAAAGTAAATATATGTTTATATATATATATCATTACTGTGTATATATGTATATACATGTATAAATATATGTTTGTTCAGAGTTAAAACAGATAGAGTGAAGTCACCAGAGACATTCTTTAATGACAATGCATTACAGGTTTTAACAGCTGACATCATATGTGAATGTCTGCTCGCATTCAGGAGACATTTGTCTGAACTGGTTGAATTTCTTTGCAGCAGTTGATTGAGTCACAATGTCTGTTCCATTCCTCCCATACACGCCCATGTATGGACTTTTGTTGGATTACTGTCAGAATTCAGCTATAACCACCCTGACAGTGAAGCCTGAGACAACGCCCTGTTGCTTGCTGTGGGCCGTGCTGGAATGTATTTGCGCAAATATTTCCTGGATGTGTTGAAAAAGCAGTTGAAGTCAGTCAACCTTACTTTTGTTACTAGTTATGCAGAACAATACCTGAGTTATAAAATGATGTGTAAAATCATTATAATCAGGTTTAATACTTAGAAGTGCATTATCCTAATGTATTTTTCTTATAAAAGAAATTATCAAAACTATTCAAGAGAGCAAACATGCAGCCAGAGCAAACATGCAGCCAGTAAAGAACACTGTATCGTTTACTCCGAGCACTATATTAGTATAAACCAAAATACCCAAATTTGTTACTAACCGATAGAAAACCCCAGCAGCCCTCCACTGCAAGTATCAATAAAACCTTCATGAACGCAAACACTTTAAACGCAAGCATGGTGTTAAAGTGTATTAAACAACGTAGAATATGTACATCAGAGTTTTCAGTGCAAAAGACTTTTTACCATTAAGAAAAAGAGCCTGGAAAAACATTAAAAATATCAAGCAAAATCTGGGCAGTGTGGGCACAAAACACCGCCACCTGCAGGATCTCATTTTCTCAATTTGTGTTCAGGGGTATATTCAATTTTTAAATCCTAGGTCTGGCCATGTGTTGGACAGTGAAGAGTAAAACTTAATTTCAATGCTTCATTGTTCATGTTTTTTTGCACACATCTGCAAGAGTTTTGAATTTTGGTCCGAGTGCGTTGAGGAAGTCGAGATTTTCGTTGTCGCCGAATTCACTGCAGCAACCGACGGAGCCAGCCGCCGAGCCGGCCCCTTCAAACCCATAGGAGTGGATGATGTCGTCAGCGTAGCGTCCATCCTCCTCTGATACAAAGTAATCCAGTTTCTGTGAGAGGAGAAAGGAAAAGAGCGCAGAAACAGGTTGTTATGACACCAAGTGAGCTAAACCCACAAGATGTGAGGGGAGATAACACAGCAGTGGTCAGGCTGGGCAGTTCAGGATATGGCTGACACTCTGATATTACACATTGAACAAACACTTCACCAAAACATTTGACACAAGACACAAATTGTGTTTCTCCACCCGAGAATTGGAGTATTATTAAAGTTTACGAAGGATACTATCAGACCGGAGAGGGAGAAAGAGAGAGAGATTATCTTACACACGAGAGTCACCTGAGCTCAGCTCTTACAGATAACCAAGATGTTATTAAAGCTAAGAGCTGCAGGCCTGTGTGAACATTCAATTCTGTGTCTCTGTCCTAGTTTCACAAACGTGTTCACAAAAGGTGGTTCATGTTCTGAAAGTGTGATGAAAACTAAATTGTTAATGTTAATAACAATGTTGTGCCATAGGACAAAAATAGACTTCATACTGCTGTGTGTCAGTTAATTACTGACTTAAAAATTTAAAATCCACATGTGCAAGCACATTTATGTCCCATTTAGCTCTGTGGCAAGTTGCATAGTAATACCTGCTGCAATATTGCATGAAATCACACATATTCAGCAGTGTTTTCCATCCATGCCTGTGTTACAATTTTGCTGTAAGAGCTGCAGTTCCCCAAAGCTTCAACAACATAGATTAAACTATTACCTTGTGGAGATAGCGTCCGTTTGTCTGCCAATTGTGGAGAAAAGAAGCGTCTTGGACATATCGGCTGTCGGCGCTCACGCCACTGTTAACAAGATGGCCATAATGACCGCCAAGTTTTCCATTCTGATCAAACTGGCCAGAGTCAATTTCATTGGACTTGTATCTCCAGCTTTCGTGTATATTGTGGCCTCCCATGGTGCCCATACTCCCCTTGATATATCCTGTATTCAGGTCCTTGACTGAACCCTTTGTTAGGTCTATGTCTACTCCAGAGGTAGGGACAATGATGAGGCTGGCATCCTGAGGAGCAAATAAAAAAACAGACAGTCCAACATCAACATCAGGTCCACAATTCAAACTTTATTCAAGTGTCTTAACCATAGAGTTCAGCATCATCACCACGGTGGCCTTACCACTTCATCTCCTTTCCCCTCAGTGTTTGATTGGAGCAAAATTCCACCACTGTCTCCTGTGTCCTCAATTTCTCGCTTTTCCCTCTTTGTCACACAGATGAAAGCAAGGAGTAAACCTGATTAAAAAAATAAATAAGGCATGACAGTTAGAAATGATCACATTGGAAAATGGTTGTTTTTAATTCAGAATGTGTGACAATCATTGCTGGTTAGATTTCATGTGGTGTACAGCAGCATCGAGACAACTCACTCAACAACTACATTTAAAAACTTCCTATAAACGTTTTGTTTACCTGAACAGAAAAACTGTTTGTTTATCTACACTGTTCGGCCCAGACATGTCTGCTGGTGTCTGTGGTTTACTTACAGAGCAGTAGGAGCAGAAGCAGAGGTAACAACATAGCCAGTACAGCAAGTCCTCCTAATGTTACGGAGCGGTCCTTGGCCAAACAGATGCCATTTCTGCACTGGCAAATTCTGACTGTCACTGTCTGTGTTTTACCAAAACCCTGTAGATCCGTAACATCAACAGGAACCTGGTAGATCCCCCTCGGGAGCTCTTTGATCTGCTTCAAGATGCCTGTTGTGGCTGAAGAGTTAAAAAGACAACGCAGCTCAGCATGGTACAGAACAGTGAGACATTGAAGTTTATCAGCAAGATATGCTTTGATTTTACTTTTAAAGTTAGCAAGTATTTATACCCACTGTGATCATGGCATTTCTCTGTCGCACAGAAACAGTTGATAAAAATGCAACCACCTACCATTATAGGTTGCCATCGTCCATTTTCCATCATTGTCCTTCGGCAAATTGAAACTGAAAGGTGAAGAAAATGGCGACTCGTCTTTGTCTTCAGCCACAACGTACACAGAGCCCAACTCTCCATCCTTCTCACAGATCACCCGTTCGCCGGTGGGTAGCGTCGGCACGTTGTCGTTGACGTCCTCCACTTGAATAATGACGGTTCCTGTGCCTGTTTTAGAGGCTGGAAGGGAGACATTTTTAATTAAATCAGGTCTAATGAAAGACAATCATCAACTTTATTATTGTGAATCCGGTAGTAGTTAGTTGCAGGAGAGCCAGAGCACTTCAGGAAAAGGCATAAAGCATTTTCAAAAGCAAAACACTGAAGAGACAGGCTTGGCTAGGTGTGAGATCTGTGTTAGCAGCTACAGTCAAATACAATTGGTTCAAAGACACGTTAACATGCAGGGGCCAAGTGAGGTGTCCTCAGAGCAGCAGTCTTACACATGGCCAGATTTTTATAGATTAAAAAGTAGTTGATGTTCAGCGTAGACACTGGAATTTCAGCTTATTGGCGTTATTGTTTCTGTCATACTATTCATACTTGTCTTTGTTATTGTTTTCCATTGATCCATTAAGGTGTTGCTTAACTTTTTGTTAGGAACTCACCAAATGCTCATTACTTCCAGGCATTAGCTGCTTGACTCTTTCCATGGAATTTATTTGATTAATTTTCCTCTGAAACTCATGGATGAGTCAGTAATCAGTTTACATTACATTTGTGTAGGGAGAACAAAAACAAAAGGTGGAAAAAAAAGTTTGTTTCGACAGAAACCAGTGAGGTTGGAGCCAGAATCCTAAAAAACATGTCGCTGCCGAGACAATTCCAACAAATTACAAGAGAAACACGCCTTCTTTAGACATGCTGAGTTTGATGGAATTCACAAACCACCACTTTCTCAGTCAGTCTTATGAATGTTTGCTAAACTCAAAGGAGACAATGTTTATGAAGCATAAACGGGAACAGATAATTAAGTAGCAGCACTGTTTTGAAGACTTTAACATGTTTATACACGAACCCATTTTAAGCTGAGGATTTTCTTATGAACTTCCTGGAAGGAGGTAAAAAGTGTCCAACTTTAACAAACAACTTACTGACATCGACAGCTTTCATTGTTATGTTGTAAATCCCATTCTGGACAAAATGTGACTCCTTGTCAATTGTATTTGCCACCCTCAGCTCTCCTGTATTCTTGTCAACATTGATCCAGGCAGCTGGGTCTGTAGACTTGTAGTACCTGAGAGAAAGGAAAAATACATGTGTGTTACAAACACATTCTTCAGTGTCAGCAGTCAAAGTCTGCCCCCCAGTGTTGAAGGAATGCAGCAGTGGTCGAAATGACAATTTGCAGCAAATAGAGACTTTAATGATGTGAGAATACAAGTGTCTTACTTGATGCCATCACTGCTCTTGGTTTCAGGATCTGTGGCTGTGTAGCTTCCTATCAGTGTACCGTTGGGGGTGTTTTCTTTGACTGTGAAGCGAACAGTGGGAGCGCTAAACTCTGGACCTTCATCAATGTCAGTGACGCTGATGTCCACAGGGACAGTCTGCCATTTGGCATCGGTGTTGCTCAGGTCAGCTTCGTTACGTGCCATTACCTCCAGCTTCACGTTTTTGTTCTTCTCAAAGTTCAAGGGCTGCAGAATAAAAAATGTCAATATTAAAAAAACAAATCTAGAGCTGCATGTCAACATTTCTTACTAGATTAATTATTTGTTTCCTGGAATGACCACAGTATACATTACCACTGTTGTGACACATTATTAATGTTGCATTATTGTGTAATGGGGCTTAAACTGTTCTCCAAAATATTGTTTTTAGTGAATATAGTGGTCAAACCTGAGTTAATGTGTTTTAGCCACATACTTACAACAATAAATCTTTTTGTCTTATTTACCTTGACAACATACAGAAGACCCTCATTGGTTTTTGGATCAGTATCAATCCTGAAAATCCCATTTTCATTTCCTTTGGTGATGATGAACTTTGACTTCCAGTTTGGAGTGTTGATTAAATCCTTGTCCTCCACTGGGATGTGGAGGATGAGTTTGTCCTGTTCATTTTCTTTGACATTGGCGTTGTACTGTAAATTAACATTTTTTTAATTACAAAACGATTGTGTTTTGTTAAATTTTTGAGGTCTCGCTCCTATAATGTAAAGCAGCGTCACTGTGTGTCTTTGACAACTTACAGATGCTTTGGTAAAAGTTGGAGGGTTGTCGTTAATGTCCCCTATTGTAATGGTCGCTGTCCCGGTGTTTGATAGACCAATGGGGGCACCATTCATATCCTTAATCTCTACTGTCACCAACTGCTTGTCTTTAACCTTGAGAAGAATGTAATGAAAAACAAGGCATATTGAAAGGATCAGTTGAAACTTCTAGAGTATCACTATTTGTTGGTTGTGTAAATTACTAACACCAAGACAGCAGGGTGTACCTCTCTGTCCAGGTTGCCGACTAATGTGGTGATCACGCCAGTTACTGGGTTAATGGAAAACTTATCAGAACCCGTCAGGAGAGAATATTTAATCTTGACGTGTGTAGTTCCTTCTTGGTCTCTGTCTGTAGCTTCCACCTTGCCCACAGATGTCCCTGTGGAGGAAAAAACAATGTATCAAGTCCACTGACATCCTCACTGTGGGTCAAACACTACAGCTCAACAGGTTTGAAACACACTGACCTGATTTGCTGTGCTCCAGCACACTGAACTGAAGGGCACTTTTAAATTCTGGAGCATTGTCGTTCACATCATCCACTATGATCTGGATGGGCAGAGGCGAGTCTGTGGGTTGCATTGTGTGCTTGTCAAACACTTTGGTCGTCAGCTGTGAACAAAAAAAAATTAACTTAAAAGGAGTCACATACATTAGTTGTTAGGATACGCTGAAGAAAATGTTCGCCCAAAAAGTTTATTTTACACAACAAAATAAGAAAATGGGATGCTGTCCACTGTGTCTATTTGTACATTTGAATTTGAAAAAGGGCATACCCCTTTTAGTTGGACATGATTGGTAGTATAACTGACTTATGTCCAAACATTAAAAGTTCCTCATTTAAATACAATTAATTAGAATGGGATTTTTAACATTCAACCATTCCTGACTGAATCACATTATCATTTACTCACTGTAAAGTTTGGGAACATCTCACGATCGACTGTTTGATGAACTTTCAACATCCCACTGTCTTTGTCCAGGCTGAAGACACCAACCGGGTGCTCATTGAAACCTGGTCCACTGAAGGTGTAGTACACATCATGTGTGGCAGAAGAATCTGACACAATCTGCAAAAGAAACCACATAATTTCAGTCAGTCAGAGGAATGCACATATACTTTCAGGAAGGTAAGATTATTTATTTTTATTTTTTTTGATAGATTTTATTAATTAGTACATGGGAAATTGTCCAATACTCTGTTGGCTATTTCAAATGAAGATTGGAGATTTATTTTTTGAAATTCTGAAATGTCCAGCACTCTCCTCAGACTTAGACTCAGATAAAGAAATATTGCATGAATTACTTTTCTCTCCGAGTCTCTGGTCAAGCAGCTTTTAAGAACAATTATCATCAAAAACGCTTCATTTGATATTCTTCCCGTTCTCAGTCACAACCTTTTGTGTGACAGACACTTCAACAGTTGATACTTGGCAAAGGATTAAAATTAGTCATCAACAAAAGTCACCTGAAAGTGAGGCAATTAAATGATGTGGCTGTGAATCATAATGTCTGGGAATTAAAAAGAAATTAAAAACATGTGATGCAATATATATATATATACAGTATATGGCAATAACTTTATATAAACAAAAATGTTCATATAGCATGAGGGTCTGTAATGCACAGTAAACATATAATGCCATTCACCGCAATGCTCGTCACACATTAGATGTTGTAAAATTAGATTGGAGGCTGATTAGATGAGGCATACTTCCAATTAAAACAATGCATTAGTGATTGATAAAAACCATGACCTCAGTGTTGATCGTGCATTAGCACAGAACTATTATTATTAATGTTAATAATAATAATAATGAGGCTATAAATAAGAAAAAAACACCAGTAATGTTTGTACATTTGAAATGAGAAATGTGAGAAATTGCTGTTCCACATTGGCTGCTGCAAATATTTACAGACCCAAGGGAGTGGGAGTTCCTGTCATTTCCCCTCTGGGCTTTCCTCTCACCCACTGCTCAACCCTGCTACATTGCAGTACATGGCATGTGTTATTACCCTCTCAATCTCTTTTGGATAAGGTCCGGGGTCATTCTCCAAGATGTTGAAGGGTGGAGGGCTCCACCTTCTTTTGGTGCGCTTCAGGAGCCCCTCTTTAGGCTTTCACATTTAGAAAAGTAAACAGAGAAAGGGAAAAGGTAAATGACTATTATTACCGCTGTGGAGCATTTATTACGAAAGAAGAGACAGTATCTTGCCCAGAGCGCTTCTCACCTTTGGCTTCTGCAGTGTGCTGTGGATAAGGTGAACTTCCATCTCACTCTGCGGTCCACTACCGTCCTCTGCCCGCACATAAAATGTCCGCCCTCCTGCTCCAACATACACGTCCGTCACGGCTACTATTCTTCCATTGTTAAATTCAAAACTTTCATCAGACAAAGTCAGCCGCAATGTTTTACTGTCGCAGTTTGCGGTTCCCACTGAGCGGAGAGTGGGGAGGAAATGGGGGAAACGGAGAGAAAAGAGAACGAATGTCAGGACATTGTGTTAGGTGAGTTTATGGTGCGTTACGGTGAGTTTAGTGCAAGTAGATTAATAATGGCCGGAAGTACCTTTAGTTAGTTCAAAGTCTGGCTGAATTTGCTGCGGCACCAGCAGATACAGAGAGTCCGGGATAAAACACGGCTCCACACGGAGCAGACTCTATAGCGACACAAGGAAATATTGTTGCGTTTAACCATATTTAAAGCAAGGTTAATATAAACGTATCGACACAAATACAACACAAACAAACTAAAGCTCTATAAAATGTTTGAACAGAAAAACTAACATGATACATTTACATTTTTAAAAGTTAAAAAGGAACGTACCAGCATAAAACTTAAAGCGAAAACGAAAATATTCGCCATTTCTGGCAGTTCCTTGCCGTCCCAGGCAGGAGTCCGGGCTACAGTGGAGGTGAATCAGTCAGGAAAAGTGACAGTTGAGGAGCCTGTGCTATCTCCGTTCAAAAACAACAAGAACGACCAGAAAACAGGAAAGATGAACCTACACCTGCATGTATGCCCTGGGCGAGCACAGACAGCCCGTATTGCTGCCGTGACTAATCGGACGGACACACCTTAAATTGCCCCACCCAGGCTGTGACAGCCCAAAGAAGCACCTTAGGTCGGCTGTGCCTCGGCGTTGATCAGCCGTCTTACTGAACACGTCAAAGACTTTCAAGTTTGAATATATATGTGAAGGGTGAATGTTCCCGTATTTCCACCAGGAGGGGGCAACCTTGCACCAGTCTTTTGGCAGGCAGAAACGGTTCTGCATTCAATTTCAAAAGTGCCAAGTGTGGCGAAAGAACTCAAAAACAGAGAGTGACAACAGTAAATCTGTCAGGGAAGAGTTAAGAGCCATGTGAGTTACAGATGTGTATTTATAAGAAATAAAGTGTCTTTAAAATACAGGGTGCTGCCTCTTGTTAAAGTTTAATGTATGCTCTTGAGGTACAGTCATTGAAGTGTGTCCACAGTCTGGCCCTGGGACCAGCCCTGGTTCTTGAAAAGTTTTTTTAAGGACCTGTGAACTAATTTTGTATAATTTATGGCCCACTGGGATGATTAAACAGAACTAATAAATCGTACAAACCCAACATTTGTTCCCTGTTAAGGAATGCAGCCGCCACTGCGTTCCTCCCGTTTTATTAGTTATAACTGCGAAAGACAAATAAGTGAAAGTGACTGAGTATACCATACCAGTTTTTAAAGAATCTTAGACTTACTGTATGTTTGTATGTAGTATGCAGGCCTTTTGTCTTTTTAAGGCATTCTCCAAATAATTAACATGTATGGGGGTCTATCGCCTTTTTCAGGCAAAGATGTTGAAGAGATGCACTAGGGACCCCCCAATTATAAATTAATTATATGATTAATTAAGGTGAGTTCTATTCCAAACTGCTTTATCCACCGACGCTCAGCATAATTTTGCATGAACTTTGAAGTAATTTTTATAACCCCGATCGTGGTGATAGTCTGTTACTAAAGTAGCTACCAAAAGATAAGTAATATCGTAGTTTGTAAAGAATACATTATAACTTAACATTATTGTTGTAAAATGTAAAATTTACTTTGAACTCTGCATAAAGATCCCTTTACTATAAGTAGCAATAAAACGTGGTAATAAATAGTAAATGATAAGATGTGACACAGTACTACAGTCAGGGTTTGCACACTGGTTTAATAATTGAACCATAAGTACTGGATACTACACACATTCGACATATGCAGTATTAAAAATTAATTTAGAAAAAATGTATTTAAAAATACTACTTTTAGCTTATTACACTGCAGTAAATACTGCTTGTTTTTCAAGAGTATCTGGTCTACCCAGGTCCACACATGACCTCTGCATGCCCCTCCTCTCTTCTGTGGCTCCACTAAAGCATTCTGGTAGGAGGATCGGCAATCACTTAGCGCCACAGGAATGTGAGCTGAACTAAGCCCTGTGTGAGGGGGGGACTCTGCTCCCACGGGTGAGAAGCATTTACTATCTTTATAAAACCGCTGATAAAAAAGGAGAGTATTCTTGGTCAACAACACCAGACTCTGTGTACTGTGTACTGTTACTAGAGGAGGGGTGGGGGCTGTTGTAGGAGGAGAAGTTACATGAGTGTGCAACAGGAAAGGTGAGAAAAATGTCAGGAAGACAGCTCTTATGTGAGACATGGGCGTGGACGTAATGAAAGGTCTTAAAACTCTGGAGTCACAACACAAAATGCAGGACCAGCTCAGCAGAATACTGTTATCTTTCTTCACAACTAAACAGTATGTTGGACGTGTATACTTGCGCTCAATGTACTTTTTATGTGTACACAGTACACAGTGTGAGCAGCATTACAGCGGATAGACCCATTGTCCTTCTTCTTCTTCTTACTGTAACACTGTGCCTGACCTCCCACGCTGTCCTCTCATTGTAATTCACTTTGAAAAAAAAAAAAAGATAACACAGATGGTGGTAGTTTTAGTTTTAGTTTTTTTTTTACTTTTGCTTAGTAGCACAAAAAAAAAACAGCAGGGTGAGTTTTTAGTGAGTTATAACTATGTCATTTAAACATTTGCATCATTGTTGCATAACAGCATACACCTTGTTTGTTTTGTAATGCTATTATCTCCAAGGTGTGGCAGAGAGACATGTTGGGAAATATACTGTAGTCTGACACAAACATTTAACACGACAACCATATGCCTACAAGCATTTATACTCTGGTATTGTTAGCACACCTCATTTGTATAAGGTGATGTAAATGTACACAGGTTGATATGAGATGTAATAGAAAGTACATTTCTTGTGACTGTTTCTGAGCCAGGAAAGTTCCAGCGGGCACCTGGTTCCAACTCCTCCACACCCTTTGGATGAGTGCCAACTGAGAGGCCAGGGTGGAGCTTTCTGGAGTGTGAGGGTTGAAATTGGAATGAAACATTTTCGTTCCTTTTTTCATTTAGGTGTGAACATCCTAAACAGGCAGCGTGAGCTTAAATATGTCCATCAATTATTGTCCTATGTCCCACTTGTCCAAAATCAACTACTTGTTTATAACTACTTGTTTTTGTGTATCTTAAAGTACTCAGGAAACATGAACAAGACTAACACAAGCAGTCTGGTTAATCAAACTCTTCCTGTTTACTTTCGGAGTCAACATGCTGCATTTTTGACAAATTCCTTCACGACTTCAAAAGTGGGACACAATTGACTGCTTCCCATTTAAGGACACCTTTTGTTTCAGTCTAAGACATGCAAATGTCTTGCATGTAATTTCTCATGCATATTATCTTTCAAACTGAAACCATTGACACACCATCCTGGAGACATTGACTCATCAGAGTTTCACCAACAACAATCACTCTCCCAGCTGTTAATTATAAGGTTCTGTGTACCAGAAATGTATTTACTTTCAACAAATGAAAAATCTAAAATTATGTCATTAAGAGTTATTAGATATGATCGTATATGTTTAATGTAAACATAAAGGAGTGATAACATATTTCCTTTACACCTCTAATTTCAGGGAATAAAAGTTTTATGGGTCTTGGCGAGACAGACACTCGCTGTTCTGACATGGTTGTTTTCTTTCTCTGTATCATTCTTTCCCTCCTCCCTTTGTGCGAAACAAACTCTTCACCTCATATCAGTGCTGGTGCGGATGGATGTGTGTAAGAGGTGAAGACAGAAAGTGACGTGGACTTGTAGGGAATTTCGCAGGTGGAGGCAAAGTTTTACAGATGAGTGAGAAAGTTAGTGCGAGGCGAATGCAATTCATTTAAATAAATAATTGAACAGGCAATAAAATTCATACCTGGCCGATGTGCAGTTCATCACTTTTACTTGCAGGGTTTTGAATTACGTTGCCTTTAATTTATGTTTTGGGTTTGTTTGTTTTTTGTACAACATACAAGGGCATAACGTCCTTCGTGTTTATACAACAAACATTTGCTCCCTGTTATTCACCTTGCAGGTTTTTATGCACTCATTTCTCTTATGAAAGTTTTAACACAGTGCTTTCAGAAAACATTTATTTGATGGTTTCTATACTTAGGGTGAGTAAAAGTGAAAAAAATACAATAACATTGTGTAGCATGTTGTTTAAGTATAATAGAATGATCATAAATAATGAATGAAAACTGTTCATTTCATGCAGATGGTTTTAACATAAATTGGTTAATGGTTAATGGTTTTTAAGAATATATACCATGAATATAGTTAAATATAGATGTGTGGTAGCTTTAAAGTTATTATACAAAATATATGCCATAGAATTAATAAAAAAAGTTGTAATCATATGAGAGCCTGGATAGGAATAAAACCACTGAGCAACGAGCAATGCATTGTGTGCAACTTGAGGTTATTTTTGGGGATAATGAAATCTAACAGCGTTCTGGATGAGATGTCATGATGAGGCAGATGAAATTTTTCAGACATTCAATGAGGAAGAAAAAACATTGCTTTGACAGGATGGATTAACAAAAGGATTAGGGGACTTTGGGTGTCATCAGGGTGTTGGAGCTGTTGAAGGAGGCAGAGAAACATTTTATGAACTTTAAGATTTTACTGAATGTAAGATAAGACCTGATTAATTTGTTATGATTTCAATAACAAAGCATGCACTAAATTGAACTGCTCAGTCGTGCACAGTCACAGTCACGTCAGTGGGTAAAAGCAGTGGTTGCATGGGTGCATGCATTATTTAAATGTATGTCATTTTAAAAATATAATTTGTTTTTTTAATTTTATTACACCTACCCCTGCAGTGCCATGAAGCAACCCAAAAGGTAAATGGGAATCAGTGGCCCGGGGCTACAAAAAAGTTAAATCCGACACTACGCTTGACTTTGTTTGTCAGTAAACTGTTAAAGATACAACATTTAACCTTTTCAGAGTAAACTGCATTGGAGCCCAGTCTCCTGGTCAGAAACAATGGTTTGCACAAGTATCACAGCTATGCAGAGAGTGGCCTCCACCGCCCTCCTCCGCCTGTTATCAGCAGTGCCTGTGAGTAATCAAACAGGGGAGGATCCGCCTTTTTCTGCAATAGTCTCTGCCTTCGCACTGAGGAAAGGTCGAAGTCTATACGGAACCAGCCGACGTTTCAGTGAACACGGGAGTTGAGCCCAGCTTTTCAGACCCCAACCGGGAGGATTAGGGTAGTTTCCATGGCGTCGGTGCTGAAGCGAAGTGCCTTTTTTCTGCTGCTGTTCCTGGTGTGTCCCACGGTGAGGAAACTTTTGTCGTTGTTACAGCATATGGTTGGAATTTGTTTGCATGTTGTATAAAAGCGGTCGGTGGCGTGGCGGAGTTTGAAACAGGTGCGGTTTTTTACTCCCGGTCACCCCCTGTCGTTGGGTCAGATCCTGTTGTAAATGTCTAATGTCATTTTTACTGTACTTTTACATTCTACTTTCCTCTCGTTTTCATTATTTAATGACACCGTCGCTATGGATACGAGGAGGAAAAACAGTTAAAAGAGTGTGTTCGAGGGAATAAAAAAATCATAATAATTGTTGTCGAATGCGTAACATGTCAACATATTAATCTTAAACATACAGCCAAACAGGAATAGAGTCAAATTTTAAGATATAATTGTGACAGAGAGGATGTGAAAGTGTGTAAAAAATAAATAAATAAATACAAAGTAATTAAAATATATAAAGGTTAAACAAGTGGCTGAGATAAAACCACCTCAAATTACGTTATACCCACACATGCTTCTACAAGTTTCCTGTAAATAAACAAACAACCTTAAAACTTAAAGCTATTGTGGTTTAATTCATATAATGTGATTTATTTATTTAGATATTTTTTTGAAGTTGCATTTTTTAAATTGCTGTTTATTTTCATACTGAGTTTGTACGGAGCATGTACACTTTACAGTATACATGCTCCGTTTGTTTGTCCATAACCGTATACAAGGATTGTCTTGTTGGTAGTAATTTACTGTAATACTTGTTTATCCTATATATATAAATTATTCCTGCGTCTTGTTCTGCTGCTGTTCTGTGTTACACCAAAAACAAACAGCCGGTATACGTGACACGAACTTGGTTAACACACTTTAACTGACACGACCGAAAAGGTTTGAGGTGAAATAATTTGTTCTCTCTATGAACCAGGAGTTACAGCATGATTCAGAATTTTTTTATTTTTCTTGTTATAATCTGCATAACGCCTCACTAATCCTTTGACTGCTGCATTCTTTGTGTTTTTATAATCCTTCAAAATGCCAAACATCTTCAGTTTACATAGTACTGACTTTTAGCAAGTCACAGGTGAGAGTCGAATGGTTTGGTTTTGCAAACCGGCTTTTTTATTCAGATTTGTTTGAACAGTCAAAGAAAATATCATAAAAAAATTTAAAAAACGTAATTTAACAAATGTTGTTAGTTGATGGTTTTACTTGCTCAAACCTTCAGTAAAGAAGCTTTAGTCATTCAGAAATGAACTTTGTCTTATAAATGTTAACTTTTTAACTTTCCCCCTTGCTTTTACTGCAGCTTTGTCGTCTCTTCTGGTCGCTAGACATTGAAGAAAATGGGGAACGGTGGCATCGACAGAGGAGGGAATGGGTGGTAGCTCCCAGAAGGCTGGTGGAAAACCATGACTACACAGGCCTGGAGAGCATTGCACGAGTATGTGGCATAACATTTTTTTATTCAAATAATTTTGTAAAACATTCAAACTGCTTTTGCAGATTCTACACATGCACAACCTTATCTGTGTTCAATCTAGGGGCGGTAATTATGGTTATTATGTATGAGAAGCAGCTGCTCACACATACTGGCCAGCGTCCATGATTTTAATAAGTTAATGACGACAAGTCTTTGTGCACATGTTTAGACAAACACGCCCGGGTTTGATGTTATTAAGATTATCTGGTTTCATATCTCACCTTGATTTGAATTGAGAACAATTCTAATGCCAAGAAAATCATGTTATTGTTACACACAGTTTCTTTTGTGACATTGCTACAAATGATTAATCCAGTCTGCTGACTTTTCTATGTAATAGAAAGGATCTTAAAATATGGGTTGTGGCCCAAATGTGGCCGAGGGACAAAGGTGTTTATTGAGAGCCTTTAGTTTAGACTTTGGCCCAGTAAAAAATAATAAATGGTGTTAGTGTAAATATATATACATATATATATATATATATGTGTGTGTATATATATATATCTATATATATAGATATATATATATAAATTTGATGTGCAGTATGTTGCTTTTCTGTCCTGTTAATGTGTGCTGACTTTGTGTTTTTGTATTTTCTATTTACAGATTCGCTCTGATAGAGAGTATGATAGAAAGATACAGTATTATTTATCCGGGCCTGGTGTTGATCGGTCACCCCTGGGAATATTCTCCATTGACCAAAGCACCGGGTATGTGAAAATCCATGCCATTCTCGACAGAGAGGAGATCGCCACCTACAATGTAAGTGTTGTTATGAACAAAGGTTGTGTAACAATAATCATACAAATCTATAGTGTAAATCTGTCCAATATGAACAGGGTAAAAGTACTACATCCTTTTCTTGTAGCTAACGGGCATTGCAAAATTCACCGATGGGACGATAGCTGAAAAGGACATTGACATCAAAATATACGTTGACGATGTAAATGACTGCTCACCTGTTGTCAAGGAACAGCAAGCAGCGTTTGTGAATGAGTCCAGTGCATCAGGTGATCTGGAGAACTTATACTGATCATGTGTCTGAAAGGACAGAGACGATCTTAACTGTAGTAGGTAATATTTTGTTGATTTTTTTTTATTTTTTAGGTACGTTTGTCATGCAGGTGATAGCCACAGATGCCGATGAAGAAAATACACTTCGCAGTAAAATCTTCTACAGCATTGATGAATCAACCAACAGTGGTGGCATGTTCATGATCGACTCACAGACTGGGGTTATCAGGGTTAGAAAGAACACTCTGGACAGAGAGGTGAGGCGCCATACTCGATGTAGCATTTGTACTGTGCAGTAGTACAGCTTTTTTTTTTTTGTTTGTTTGTTTTAATTTTCAACATCTAATTAGTTTTACTGCTGCAAATTTCTGGCCTGTTATCTTTGTTAAAGGTTTGTTAAACCAGCAATTAAACCACAGGGTTCTAACAAACAGCCAAACAGTCAAAATTAAACCTTCAAATCACAAAAGCACATGCATTGAGTGAGAAATTCAAAAGAGAATGTGATTCCCTATGGTACCACTAGAGGAAGTGGAAGTACAGTGAGTACCATTGTTAGAAAATGCTTGTCTTAAGCTGCTGTAACAATATAAAAGCATTCATATTGTGATGAAACTTGTGTTTGCTCTGATACAATACTATAATATTTGTTGATAACTGGTCTAGCAATCTGGTTATTGGCAGTTGGAAGCTAGTCTGACCATTTCTGTGACGCGGTCTGTCTACTCTCTGGTTACGGAAATATATTTGTCTGATTCACTGCCATTATGACACCGTTTCTTTTCATTCTTTTCAAGACAAAAGAAACATATAAGTTGAAAATCAGAGTTGCTGACATGAATGGAGCAGTTGGAGGAAACTCGGGAAGTGGAGAAGTCGTGGTAAAACTTACGGACATCAATGACAATATTCCAAGACTGGAAAAAGAGACGGTAAGTGTGACACTATGACATCACCTGCCTCTGTGTCTCTTGTCTTAGTCTGCATTAACAAACCCATGTGAATGTGACCTGCAGTATGTTGGGAGTGTGGAGGAGAACACTGTCAATGTTGAGGTGATCAGGATAAAAGCCATTGACATGGATCTGATTCACACTGAGAACTGGTTGGCTGTGTATGAAATAGTAACAGGAAACGAAGGTGGCTATTTCACCATCACTACAGACCCCAAGACCAATGAGGGAATTATCACAATCAAAAAGGTAAAAAATAAATAAATAAGAGAAGAAATCCTTACTCATAAAACATTGTTGAAGTTATTAAAATTATTTCCCTTCACTCCACAGCAATTGGACTACGAGGAAATAAAGTCTCTAAACCTGGGCGTGGTCGTTCGCAACAAAGCAGAGTACAATTTCGGCAGCCAGACTACAACTGTGGGTGTTCCCAAACCGTATCCTGTCACAATCAACGTGTTAAACCAGAAGGAAGGTCCTCGATTTCAACCAACGGTAAAAGTTGTGGCTCTCTCTGAAGACCAGACGTCAGTCTCCCTCAACAAAATTATCACTACCTATGCTGCCATTGACAGTGACACGCTACTGACGGCCACAAACGTCAGGTACAGCCATGAACAGTGATAAATAAAAGTCATTGGCATTTCAATGGCTGCTTTGTCTTGTATTTATATATTTATAAATGTTCCCACCGTCAGGTATGCAAAAATTAAAGATGCGGACAACTGGCTGATTATTGATGAAAACACAGCAGACATCAGGCTGAACAAACTTCCTGACAGAGAGTCTACCTTTTTGGTCAATGGAACGTATTATGCCGAGATTATATGCATCTCCAACGGTGAGTTTATTTATATTTTGGCGGCTTTTAATATTTCTTCTACAAATGGAATTTCATTCACCAATGTCTGGGCTACATTTTACACTTTTTTATTAATGAAAACCTACAAGATGGCAAAAGCCACATATTATTTTGTTATGCAAAAATGTTATTTTGGGTAAATATTATTCTTTTGTAACGTTTTTTGTAAATTAGCTATTTTTACATAAAAAAAAATTACATTTTGCATTTCTCCAGCCTTTTTCTTTTTTTTCTTTTTTTTTTTGGTGTTCAATACAACGTTTTCAGAAGTATAATAAGAGCAAGATTGTGTTATACAGTAATATCTACTCTAGCAAAATTTAGAATGTTTTATTAATGAAGGATAGCAACCGAAAATCCAGTATATTTGTCTCAGATGATTTGGAGATTTTAGGCAACTTAAAAACAAAACAAAACAGTAAGTTATGGATGTAAATTGTGTTGAATCCATTAAACTGACTGGATTTCCCCTCATCTATTTTTTTTAATACTTTCAGACACTCCCTCCAAAACTGCCACAGGAACCATAGCAATCCAGGTTGAGGACTTTAATGATCACTGCCCAAAGCTGACAGGTACAACTCACACCATGTGCCTGGGCCAGAACGTGATCTTTGTCACAGCTGTAGATGAGGATGGTTACCCCAATGCGGCACCATTTGATTTCACGATCATTAAGGAGAAGACTAAGGGGAACTGGGTTGTGGAACCTCACAATGGTAGCTCCTTTTTATTTCTATATTAAATGTTATTTCGTCTGTTCATGGTCCAATAACACCATAACGTGATAATAGGGATGAAACTCCACCCTTTAATAATTGATGATTCTTTCTCTAGACACCACAGCCATTCTTCGAGACCAAGCCAACTTGTGGCCAGGCATCTACCAAGTGGGGCTGGAGATCAAGGACCAGCAAGGACATTCGTGTGGAGACGTCCAGGTGACAGATGTGACTGTGTGCGCCTGTGAAGAAACCACTAAAGCCTGCACTTCAAGCCGCACGTCCACGGAGCTCGGAGTTGGTGGGATCCTGCTTCTGCTCCTGGGACTCCTGCTGCTACTGCGTGAGTCCAGTGCTTCTTCTGATGATCATATGTATTGACTTAACCTCACCTGACTTGTTAAAACATACCAAGAGGTGATGATGTAAAGAATTGGGTCATAGTCAAATTAAGACTGCGGCGCACATTGCATACATGAAGTTCCTTCTTTGGAATGATGAAATGTATTGATTATTGATTTTCAGTTATCCCCCTGCTGCTATTATTCTGCCTGTGTGGAGGAGCTGCCAACGTGGCAGATTTCAAGACGATTCCATTTGATACCAAACAACAGTTGATGACCTACCACACAGAGGGGATAGGGGAAGACAAGGTATTTTTGGTGGATTTTTTGGTTTTCACGTGAAGCATTTTAGTACACTTTTTCATTAATGTGTTTTCACGATATCCTCACAGGAAGTTCCTCTTCTGCAAATCCCATTGGAGGTTGATGGTGGTGCAACTTTGGGGGGCGGGGGTCAGGGAGGATTTACAGAGTGGGGAGGAGGAGCAGGAGGCATGGCAGGAGGAGGCTTTAATGTGACCGGTTTGACCACCGAGGAGTTGCACCGGTACAACCAATACAGACAGTGGTTAGCTGAAAAAGAGGAGCTAAAATTAGGACAGGAAAACTATTTCTCCCAATACAGAGCTGGAATATTTGATGGGATGGCTCTGTCTGAAAAGTTCCTGGGAGAGTACTACTCTAGTGTGAGTGTCAATTGAAATACACACTGTAATTGGAACTTTATAATATGACCTAATGGAAGAAATGTTTTTCTGTGTTGTTATTAGAAATGTTTTTTTTTTTTTTTCAGAAATCAAAGCAGAACACAGAACAGTCAGAGCAGAAGGATGCTTTGCTGATGTATGACTACGAGGGTCAGGAGTCATTGGCAGGTTCCGTCGGATGCTGCAGCCTTCTTGAGAATGACAATGACCTCTCCTTCCTCAATAACCTGGGGCCGAAGTTCAAAACTTTAGCTGAGATTTGTCAAGGATCGAGGATTAAGATGGAGTCGTATAATGCAGAATTTTCCATCCCACCGGTGTCTCCAGTGAGGCCATCCACACACACGCACCTCCATACTCACACAGAAACAATTAGAGACAGGGACCATGTCAACATTAATGCTGTAGACACCTCCAACATCACAACAGGATCCTCCACCATTGTCAAGGAGCAGCACATTACTGAAAGATCGCAAAGTTCTGCCACTCTCCCCAAGGTGAACATGCAGGACAAGGTCATGATCCCCAGTCAGACGGTGCTCATACAGCAGCCCACTATGTACTATGCTGCTACCCCTATGTATGTGGTCGAACCGCAATCCCAAATGTTGCTTGTAGGGGGCACGCAGCAGCAGGCTGTGGGTCAGGTGGCCTCTGTTGGGCTAGGCCAGGGCCTGGTGCAGGTTGCTGGTCTCCAAGGTTCTCAGGGCATGGTTCTTGTAGACAGGCAGGTTGGAGGGAAAGGAGTGGTTGGTCAGGCAGGGCATGGCCTAACACATGGAACCAAGTCCAGAAAGGTTTTGGTGGTTGAGAATGGGTCCTCTGGTGTTGAGCACCTTCCAGCAGGCATGATTAGAACCACCCAGGGGTCCACGGGCCAAGGTTTTGAGGTAAGAGGTCCGAGTATTTTTCTGAGTTCTTCTGGTTCAGTGGAGGCAAACAAGGGCCTTACTGTGACAACCACACCCAGGGCACAAGGCAGTCAAAAAGTGGTTGTGCAACATAAGAAGGTGTCTGTCACCGAGAGAAATGTTGACTCTAGTACAAAAGCCTAGAGCAGAGCCAAGGTTTGCTTTGGTACAAGTGCCACACCTGATCTGTTTTGATCTTCACTGAACCCTGTAGTATAATCCATATTAAATCAAACATGAGGCTATTGGTACAGATAGGCCATCAAAAGTGGTGGAGAGAAAAATAACATCCTTTAAGGCCATCCTAACGATTGCACTAGAAAAAGTGGAAACGGTGCAAGATTTGTTTTCTTTCCAGTTGCTAACGTGTGCTAACTTGTAGAGCATTTATCATGTTGGAAAAATGAGAAGTGAGTGAGGCCGCTGTTTCTGGCCAAGTCTGAGATTGACTTGAATCAGCACATTTGGTTTGACAGTCTCCGCTGCAGCACTGTGTCAGCCCTGCTGTCTGTCTGCACCACATGTTGAGTCATCACAGCTTAAATTTTATCCAACCACTAACATCCGAAGGTCATCACCGATGACCAGTTAAAAGCACTCTCCCAAACATGTGTGGTGATGGAGTCCTTTGTGCTTCTCGAAGAGATTTAAGTTTTAATCTAAATAGACGCCTGAGAAATCTTCCAGGAAACTGCCACCTGTTGAACAAGAGCTGATCTGTATTTGGCCTTTTTATTCATTAGAATTAATTGAGTAAATCTGAACCATGTGACTTAGATGTGACTCAAAATGTTTTACAGAATTTCAAACTTGGATCATAGGTGTCAGAAGCCCTGATTACACATAAGCACAGCCAATGTAGTGATTAGAACTGTAAATATAATCGATGATAATAATATGTAAAGTATAACTACTTTAACCTACCACAGCTTAACCCTAAAAACCTGTTCACATTCACGCTTGTCAATAACTCATTATTGTAAGCACCAGTGACTGAGGCACTAATGAAATGTCTAAAGAACACTGGCATGGCTTCAACGTATAAGCAGCCAGTGTAAACAAATATAAACCGGTCTAACCAACAGTCACGTTTTTTTTTTTTAAATAAGTGAACTGCAAATTTCTCACACAATTTTCCACCAGAAAAGGGAAGAGAAAGTGGAAAAAATAAAATAGAACGGCTGACGAATCTCACACTTGAACTGTCCCCTGCTGAAATCAAACCAGTGGGAGAAAGGGAATTTTGAACTCTGACAGTCAGTCAGTCGAATACTCCGGCACTACGACTTCAACCAATCATAGCAGACCAACACCAAGTCAAAGACTCTACGCCCTGAGAGGAACAACAGGAGAAGGTCAAAACCAACTCCTAAACAAACCATGCACTACTACATAAAAGAAAAAATGTAGTTAATGTAAAATAACATAAAAATTTCTATTGGGGAAAATCAAGTTGTTTAACATTATTATAATAATGTGGTGGTTGAACTAATGTAATGACAAAACAAGAAAGAGATTGCAAGAAAGTTTAGTGTTTAAATGCTGCATATAAATATACTTTTATCTTCACAATTTCGTAGTAGCTTTCAAGCTTAAGTCGTGCTTTTAGCTTCTCCTCTGACCTTTAGACTCTTGAACTGAGTTATACTGTAGTAAGGAACTACTTCAGTATGTGGGGAGTTTCCTGAGAAACAGCATACAGTGATATAGATAAAATAGCCTTTTGCACTGTGGGCCTGATGATGAAGGAACACAAAGACAAGGTGTGGAGTGTTGATGCTCTGTGGTGTATTCATAAAGTCATAGATTATTCTAGATGATGCCACACAGTTTTGTATTGTATTATTATACTCCTCAGAATATTTGTGGTGTTCATTTTCTTTTTTGTACGGTAGAAATAGAAACATAAGTGCCGAGGCTGTAATGATTTTTTAAAGTTTTACGACTTAATTCTCTGATTTATAATGTGTTTTTAACCTGTGGTGTGTTTAATGACAACATTATTTACTTATATGGATAGGAAAAGTGCAAAGCACTGATGACACTGTCTATCATTAAATGCTTTTGATGTAGTTTTCTATTAATACGATGCATACTTTGTGCATCACTTGTAGTATTCTTTGTGTTGTATGAATAAAGATTTTGGTGCTGTAGTACAGTTAAAAAAACTGACGTATGAATGTTTAACACTTTTTTTTACATATTTAATGATTATTAAAAATTAATTACATTTTTACATTATTTTCATTACACAAATGTGCTCTACAACACAACAAATACATAGAATATATATGTTCTATATATATGAACACAAATATATATTTATGTATATATAGGGGTGTTTATGTATATATGTACATATATACTGTTCTATATATGTTTATCTATGTTCATACATATATGAACATATATGTTCTATATATATGTGTATATATACATATATATAGAAGAGTGGATTATTGTGGATGCCCATTAATATTTTTGTTAAAATAGTGGGAAATAAAATACATTTGTTCATATTTTCTAGCACTTTATCTTTTAGCCAGCGTTCAGCAGAAGACTAATGATATATTGTATTGGACTATTTTGTATTCAACTGTGTAGTCTAGTGATGTATTGTATTGTACTGTGTAGTGATGTATTGTACTGTGTAGTCTTGTGATGTACTGTCTGGTCTAGTAATGTATTGTATTTGACTGTCTAGTCTAGTGATGTACTGCATTGTGATGTATTCTACTGTGTAGTCTAGTGATGTATTGTGTTGTACTGTCTACATCCTTCTGTCTTGCTTTCTTTTTTCCTTACTTGCTTTCTATTTTCCTGCTTTCCTCACTTCTGTCTTGCTTTCTTTTTTCTTCTGTCTTGCTTTGTGTTTTCCTTCTGTCTTGCTTTTTTTTCCTTCTTAATTGCTTTCTTTTTTCCTTACTTCCTTTCTTTTTTACTTACTTGCTTTTTTCCTTCTTTCTTTACTTCTGTCTTGCTTTGTTTTCCTTCTGTCTCGCTTTATTTTTTCCTTCTTTCCTTAGTTCTGTCTTGCTTTCTTTTTTTCCTTCTGTCTTGCTTTCTTTTTCCTTCTTAATTGCTTTCTTTTTTCCTTCTTTCTTGCTTTCTTTTTTACTTTATTTACTTCTGTCTTGCTTTCTTTATTCATTCTGGCTTGCTTTCTTTATTTCTTCTGTATCCAGACGTTCCGTTCTGCAACCTTCACTGCAGTTGGTGTTGTTAGTATTACTTGGTATGGACCCTCCCACCTGGGGCTCGACCAGCACTTTCTCTTTATGGCCTTCACAAATACCCAGTCACCAGGCTTCACTGGTCTCGTCTCCCGTTTTACTTTCTTTATTCCTTCTTGCTTGCTTTTTTTTACTTCTTTACTTGCTTTCTTTTTTCCTTCTTGCTTGCTTTCTTTTTTTCTTCTTTCTTGCTTTCTTTTTTCCTTCTTT